GACTCCCGCTATTTCTGCATCAGAATTCAGAACGCCAAAAAATCAAATTCCAACACAAACACATTACACATTTTTCTTTCCCGAATCTCTCTTCTCTTTGTCTCCGCTAATGGATTCTCCTTCCCGCTTCTCCGTCATCGTCATCGGCGCCGGCATCTCCGGTAAAACATATGTCCACAATGGATACTTAATTCTGTACAAATCGGCTTATGACTTTGAAGCTGAATGAGATTTAATACCTCCTGCTGTTCTCTCTCCTGTTCAGGAATATCTGCAGCGAAGGTGTTGGCCGAGAACGGAATAGACGATTTGCTGATTCTGGAAGCTTCGGATCGTATTGGCGGTAGGATCCGGAAAGAGAAGTTCGGAGGCGTGACGGTGGAGCTCGGAGCTGGTTGGATCGCCGGCGTAGGAGGAAAAGAGTCCAATCCGGTGTGGGAGCTCGCCTCTGGTTCGGGCCTGCGAACGTGCCTTTCTGATTATAGCAATGCGCGGTATAACATCTACGATCGAAGGTCGGTAACTCACATCACACCTAATTATTTTCTTTAAAAAAATATCCTAAGCGACGCCGTTTCCACATTTTGACTCCTCCGGCGAATTTCTTTCTTTTTGTTTATAATTAATAATTGCAGTGGAAAGATATTTCCCAGTGGAATCGCTGCGGACTCATACAAAAAAGCTGTTGACTCAGCGATTCAGAAGCTAAGGGACCAAGAGGATGATGATGATATCTCTACAGCAATCGAATCGACTTCGTAAGATATTTATATATATAGATATATATATATGCTGCAAAGAAATTTGGTCTTCTTTTTGTTAATTACTTACCCCTGGCCCTTTCTTTTGATGTGTACGTTCTGAATGTTGGTGATTTCTTAGCGCACCAAAGACACCCATAGAGCTGGCAATTGATTTCATATTACATGATTTTGAGATGGCAGGTAACTCATCAATGGGTGCTTTTTATTCAATTAGATTGGTTTAGTACGATGTCTTCTAAATTCACAGTTAGAATTAGTAATAATTTGTGGGTGTTGTTTGCAGAGGTTGAGCCAATATCAACATATGTAGACTTTGGGGAAAGAGAATTTCTTGTTGCAGATGAAAGAGGTTATGAGCATTTACTCTACAAAATGGCTCAGGAATTTTTATTAACCTCAGAAGAAGGCAAAATCTTGGATAATCGTCTCAAACTAAACAAGGTATATATATACATATATATGTTAATAGTCTATGCCATTAATTTCTTTGCTTTGCCTGTCTCTATCTATATTTTTGTTTTTTTTATTGCCCGTTTGTTCAAGAAAAATCCTAAAGCCGTTTTTGTTGGCATCCACTGCCGGCTTTTTTGTTTCTGGGATTGATATTGACCAACTTTTGGGGGTTTTCAGATAATGACATTTATTGAAAGCAATTTTTTCCCTTCTCTGTTTATTACTATAAAATATCCCTGAAATTTACCTCCCTAAATTTAAAAATATGATATACTTATCACTGTCTTTGAAATAAAGCCTGAATTGAGCTACACTACAGCTGAAATTTAAGTTAATTATTCGAATTTACAGCTCACACTAAGTTGGTTCCTTTGTCATTATCTTAAATCTCCGCTGGTTTTTTGAGTTTAATATTTAATTGTTTTCTCTAGATGTGATGTTTCCCATTCTCCATTTAATGATGATGATGATCCCCATCATCTATCCTCGACTTTTCTTTTTTTTATTCCCATATCAAGTATTTTTTGGTAAATTTTCCATGATAAGTTGATTCAATGGTTTTCATCCGGGTTGGCTATAATGAAAAGTTGAAAATGGAGAGGACACTTCGCGCCACAGACACTTCATGATGATTTTACTGTGCTTGGATCCAGGAAGAGATATGATATAACCAGTCAACTTCAGATGTTTAATTGGCCTCTTTCCATTTGTGACATAATTTGAAGATGTTAAATTAAACTTTAAGGAGTTTGGGGACCCTGCAAGGCCAAAATTTGACCTCCAACAACTTTTCTCTTTTTTCTTTCTCATTTCTCAATCATACAACCACGAGATCATCAGCATAGCCCCTTTAACCCCATCATCAATCAGTAGGCCCCAGATTCCTCCAATTTTCACTGTCCTGTACACTTTCCGCCATGACCCAAGAACAACACCCATGAGGCATGAGGTGAGACGTCTTGTCAAGGCTCCTATGTAAACATGCAAATGGGGGGAAAGGGAGGGGGGGGGGGAGACTTGTCATTTTCTCAATTTAATATTATTGTCGTTTTTACTACCTTCGTCGCTCATAAATCATATATCACCTGTTTTCCACATAAATTTACAGTAGTACGGCCATTCACCTCGATGGCCTGTAGAGAACCTCCAATAAATGGTTACTGAGGCGCTATGTACCTTACTCAATAAATCTTCGATTTTGGCTCTGAATTCTGAATTGCTCGAACTTCCTTGGTTTTGACTTTTTTTTTATTTACTTACGGTACCTTAAGATTTTTCTCTGTTACAGGACTACTTTGGAAGCTTGGACTCCTAATTTTCAATTCTTATGTTCGTTACACTCAAACAAACAACTTAAATTGTTTAATCTTTTCCCGGCAATTTGCATGGGTTCTGCACAGGTTGTGAGGGAATTACAGCACTCGAGGAACGGCGTTACAGTGAAAACAGAGGATGGTTGCGTTTACGAAGCCAACTATGTGATTTTGTCAGTTAGCATTGGCGTTCTCCAAAGCGACCTCATTGCTTTTAAGCCACCATTGCCCGTACGTGTTGTCTTCCCTT